AGTAAATAAAAGCTTCGAAAGAGAGCCCTCTTAAAAACCCTTAAAAAAAACCTGTTAAAAAGCTCCTTCATCTCATGAGCAAGTCTGGTCTCACTAGGAAGCTCCCTGGGAGTCCTGAGCAGGCACAGGACCTGGGCAGGGAGGGAACACTTTTTGTTCGCAGATATGAACTGAAAGGCTGAAGGAAGAGAAAATCTTCACTTCAACCTTTTGAAATATGAGAGTTCTTAAAGAAATAATCTCTTCATGCCATGCTTTGTGATTCCACAAAAAGAATCATTCAATGTTACAATCACTCTCAAGGAAACTAAAGTGGATTAAGAAGAACATGGTGTAAAGACTTTGTGGGTTTGGGTGTGTTTTTTTTGTGGTGGTCTTGTTGTTTGCTTGGTTGTTGCGGGATTTTTTAGTTTGTTTTCTGGATTTTTGCTATAGGAGAATTCTTCTGTTCCTGGAAGTATGTGGGGGTGATCTGTCAAAGTGAGCGAGACAAAAGGATCAGTGTCTAAGCCTTAGTTATGTTGTACAAAAGAGCCTCAGGTGACTTGCATAGCCCATAGGCTCAATACTTCACCCTGCCTGAAAAAGAGAATGTTGCTTTTAAAAATGTAAGGCCTACCCATGCCTCCAGTAGTGACTTTCCAGCACCAACTGCTCTAATCACGGCAGAAACCAGTACTGGTAAATCCAACATAAATGCAATAGGGGAATGCTTGTATTTGTTTCCAGATCACAGAACTTAGTTCCATAGCCAGCCTACCTCTAAAGCTCACTGTGTTGCCAGTGTATTGGTATGGTGAAGGAGGTTAGAGGAAGTATAAAATATATAAGAAAACCCTATTGAAACTATCAGGTGAGGAATTAACTTGTTTATCTGAAACACTAGATGCCTTTGATTAAGGGTTCTCAGAACTTCCTGCAGAGACAGGAGGAAGAAATGGTAAATCTTTGTGTACCAGAAGGAAATTTGAACTCAAAACCAAGGGAAGCTTGAGTGTGGAAGTCAATGTACAATTAACAGAAGAGAACAGAAAATTGCCTTGGATTTATGAGCAAGGAAATTATTCATTTGTTCTTTCAGGAGAAAAGGGACTCTGTTGTTGTGTTTCTCAAAGACCAAAATAAAAACAATCTCATATTTGGATTGCTAGCTGTTCTTCTTCCTCCTTGAATTAAGCAATAGCCTGAGCTGTTTAAACAGAAGTTATTCAGGTGTTCTTTGTCTGAATTTATACTCGGTATGGAAAAAGCAAAGCAGGTAGGTAAGAAGGGTTTAGCCCCTTCTATTCTTTGCTCTGTTCATCTGCCCAGTGGTTTCTGAAGCCGCAGACAGACAGCTCTTGCCCAAGTGCAGCTTCATCACCCGTGTTCCCAGACGAGGTGATTGTGCTGTGATGAGCCACGCGCAGCATGAGGTGATATTTCTGTCTGGCGAGGTCTCACGGGGACTTCAGCAAAGGTGTACTGCCCCGCCCCTTGGTGCAATCACTTGGCCTCCCAGCCTTTCCCTCGCATCCTTTTTCGGGTGGATGCTGTGGTCAGACCTACAGGCAACATTTTTAAGGGTAATTGCTTCCAGCATTTTTAAGCTCTGAGTGCAAAGCCCCAGGTAACTGTGTGCGGTAGGCAGCTGCAGTGCAAATTTGTCCATAGAATGCAAAGAAACGCAAAGCTAGGTGCAGGGACCTGGAGGACATTTCTGAAGCTAGTTACAAATATTTTACTGCTTCATCTCTGTCTTGTGCTTCTCTGCAGTTGTTGTAGGCTCAGAGGTTAAATATTAAAGCAGTGTCTTTTGTGTAGTGGCTTAAATAGCAGCAGAAGGGGAAGGGAGCTAACATTTGTTTGATATTAGACAGATTAGCAAAAATAATCAAAAATTAGCAAATACCAGGTATGATTAGAATGAGAATCAGTTGGGAAAAGCTCTGCAAGGAGAGTGATAGGGATTGCCTTTGGCTTCAGATTCTCCTCTTGCAGCTCTGGAGAACAGAGGGGTGCCCTTTTCCTCAGATACCAGAGAGCATAAAAAAGCCATGCCGTCGTGGTGCATAAAGGATGATCGGGGTAGAAATGCAGTTCCCAACAGCAATTGTACTCTGTGTTCACACTCTGATAACCAGACATGGTGGTCATTATGAAAGGGCAGAGCAAAGCTTCAAACCCTCTCTCTTTGCACTGCTTCTGTAGAGACAATATGGAAGAAATACCATCTTTTCTGGTAATAAGCTCCTTTTAGTTCTGGGGAGATATTTGGAAGTATTACTGTGTAGATGAGATGTGTACATCAGCAGTAAGTAACCAGAGATATTTGCTCATAATGGTACAGCTACAAAGTGGTAGAGATGGCACTGAGCACACGGACATAGCTGAAAGAAGTCACTTTGGGGTAAAATGAACTAATATAAAGCCAATTCAATTACTGTTTTCTATTCATGCGAAGTTATTCATCAGCTTCAGTGATTTGAGCTTTAATTCACATGAAGACCAGAGCTTGCCCTGTCAAGATTCCTGTATTTGTCCTTTTCTCCTCAGCATAACAAACAATAGCACAAAATGACTCCAGCTTTCCAGAGATGAGCTTTTCAAGGTCAGTATCAGTACTTTTATTGCCTTGCCAAAACCCAAATATGTTCCACATTCCACCTGCTTCCCTTCCAGAAGTCTCAAATGTTTAAGATTCCTGTTTAGTGAGTTGTTCCTAAGAGATTTCTGGTTTTGAATTCTTGGTCCTCCATCAGTCATGGTATTGTGAAAATGCTTATTCCTGCCAACCCTTCTCCTTGCAGTGTTCTTTTCAGGAGGTACAGAATAGCATAACAGTCCCTGAGAAATAGTCTTAGGAGTTTCAAATGGCCAGTGTTCTTCAATTATTCTTTCTTCTCCTTTTTTCCCCCTATAAACTGCAGACATTTAAAAAGTGATAATTAGAAGAGCCTCATGCTTTTGACAGATGCTGCTGTATAACTGACTTCATGTATCCAGCAAAATACTGACTGTGAGGACTGTAAAGCGTCTTACACATATTTTGTCCTTAAATTTATAGCACTTTTTTTCATTGTTGGTTTTAAAATACAGAAATTCTTAGTGACAAACTGCAGTGGTATTTGCAGAGCAGTTCACTCTTCGTGCTTGCTGCACAGGTTTGGCATGACTTAGATTACTGGAGAAGCACAATTGTCTTTCACCAGAAATGGTTCTGGGTCTGGGTGCAAGTAGTGTTGAAAGTTCTTAGTTAACAGAATAAAAAACAAAACAAAACAAAAATTTACAAGTACATCATCTGAAAAGACCAAGCTCTGTAGTGTTGTAAAAACTGATATTTTTCTCATTTTCTACTTCAGGAAGGAAAAATACTTGGATGGTCATGTACTTTATACATCATACTTTATTTGAATGTATTTTGGACCCTTCTGTCTACCCTCATAAAATTGCAGGAAAACGTAAGTTGCTTGAACTACTAGTATTTTGATGCTTATCCAAAATATTTACTGTAATCTTAAGGCTTTTGCAACATTGCTGGTAAGTGTATTTTTCTTAGCAAAAATGGATTTTTTTTTCCCCAAGAGTGTTAAATACCTGTGTAAGTTGTCCTTGTCTCCATTGTGTTTTTTTTTTATTTTACTGTTTCAGTAACTAAGATTATTTCTTACCTGCAAATTCTTTTAGTGTTCTGACCTATGTGGCAATGTCTTACTGCATGACACATGGTTTGACATACTATTTTATACTAAGCATCAAAATTGTGAATATACAGCATCCCACAAGTGATAGAGACTCCCCTCTGCCCGCTATATGTTAAATGACCATTGCACTTCTGCAGAAGTGCAGTAAGAAACGGAGATAAATGGAGACAAAATAATGTATCTGTGTTGTTTTCTGTTGCTCAGCTTTTCTGGAAGTCATGACTCTCCCGTCCAGACAATGCTCCCTTTTGTTTCCATTGATTCACAGAGCAGCAGGAAGAGAGGAGGAGCGGCCTATGGAGCTGGCTGTGTTGTTAGGGTGGGGTTGAATGTCAGATGTAGGTCTGCACTAGGCTGGTTTCATAGCTAAAGATAAAGCAGAGGTACTGGTCCAACCCTAAGTGTCATGCTGTCAGTCTGACAGCTTACCTGCAGGTAGCTTTCTCACCTCTTGACCAGTCTTCTGACCTGTGTAAATGAGTGATCAGGGAGTTTTTGCTTATATGAGTAGTTTCCTGAGTTTGTTAGAAGTTACCCAAGCCAACCTTGTGTCACATCTATCTCAGTGTCTCTGCTGATCTACACATAGCAAGAGCTGCTTCTTTCTCATTGTGAAGCAAATGGCTGTAGGTCAGACAGGGCATAGGATCCCACCTCATGAAGTTATGAGAGTCACAGTCGATGGCTGGAGTGAGAGAGTCACAGTCTACAGCTGAAGCTAAGTGAGAGCTGAGACATTTGAAAACAATCCTGGCCTGTATGCAAGCAGGCTTGTAGGCTTGGTGTATGCCCGAGAGAGAAAAAAGAACACTTGCTCAGGTACTTCTGTCTCTTGAGATGAGATTTTCCTCTTATCCTCTTCTTTCTTCTGTATTTCCCAAAATGAGATGATGCTGCAACACTTCCTTCTGTGCTGAGTGTGAAAACTGTAGTGCCCTGAAGTCATGAACGCTGCCTGCTCATCACTGCAGGGTACGTGCAGGAAATGTTACAGAATGTGATTCACCACACTGTGTATGTCTATTTCTCCATACTTAAATGCTCCCTGCTGAGCAATTTCTGCTTGGAAATTTCCACTTTCATTAAGATGTTAGTAAACTTACTAAGTTTCTTTTAGTTTTCTTTTATCCAAACTCTGCTTTTATACAGGCTTTCAGTCATACACTTCTGCCTTTCTTTTAAAGAAGCAGCAAAATTATTGGTGAGTTATTCTGACTTGTTAGCACAGTTACCTTTGTGTTCTTGATATATATTTTGCAAATTTTTAAAAGCCACTGAGTTAAAGTAACTGAAATTAAATATATAAATTCTTTCCAGAAAGTTGCTGTAAAAACAAGAGGAACAGTGTTGTCTGCCTACGCCTCGTACCGCTGATCTCTTACCGTGATTGCGGATTGTTCTGATGAGAAGGGAAGTTACAAGGGCCACAGATGATGAACTCCAGCTAGTGAGGTAAGGATCCCTCTTTTCTGAGTTGTCTATGGAGGTTTCTATCCCCAGGAGAAGCCAAAGAGTGACATTTCTATTTCCAACCTGATAGAAAGCAGAAGTGGTAACGGCCTTGAGGACCCTGCGTGAGACACAGCACACTGCTCTGGAAAGAAAGTACAGTAAGAGTTTATCTAGGAGTACCTATATGTGCATGTTAGTGTTTGAAAGCAAGGTAGAATTTTGTTACTTGCAGAAGTATGTTGTTGATTTAGTTACTCAGTGGCTCAAAAATGTGTTTGCATTCTTCAGGGCAAAAATAAAGGTAAAAAATTTTAGCTGCATCCTCAAAGTTTAGCACAGTTTATGCTTTGTCACAAGGTTTGGTTTACATAAATCCCTCTACTTCTAAGCAGAGAAGTTAGGAGTTCTGAAAGCAATCACAGGCAAGGCAAGGGTTATCTCTTTTAGTACAGCAAGTTGCTGGAAAGAGGATTTGCCCTTTGTATGACTTTGGTTGCACACACTTTAGCTGACCACTAAAGCAGATGACGTGTTTGTTCCATTGCTGAAGCTATCTTTGACCTCATTTCCTCACATTATACCCAACTAGAGGGTAATCAATAGGATCTATTTGCAGTTACTTGTAGGCCAATTAAAACTACAGACAATCCAGAAAATGATGCTACATGTGCAAGAACATAGCCCACAGTTATAAAATAATTTTTTTTGTGTTACTGGTGCAGATTATGGTCTTAATGGTAGAGTAGTTTAGGTTGGAAGGAACCTCTTGAGATCTTCTAGTCAAACCCCACTGCTTAAGGTGGAGCAGCAAGAGCCAGTTGCTCAGGACGATGTCCAGCTGGGTTTTTAATACCTCCACAACCTCTCTGGGCAACATTTTTCTCTATCTTACCACCTTTACTGTAAAAAAAATGGTATATCAAAGATGGAATTTCATGTGCTTTACTGTATATCCGTTGCTTCTTGTCCTGTCTGTGGGCACTACTGAGCAGCATCTGCCTCCCTTGTCTTCAGCACCCTTCTCTTGAGTATTTGTCTATATTAATAAGATCCCTTGAGCCTTCTCTTCTTCAGGCTGAACAGTCCCAGCTCTCTCAGCCTCCCCATGTATGACAGATGTTCCAGTACCTTAGATATATCTTTCTTGCCCTGGGCTGGTCCTCACTGGTCCCACTCTAGGGAATCCACATCTTTCTTATACTGGGTTGCCCAGAACTGTGACTGAAGCTGGTGAAGGTACACTCACCAGATGCAAGAACCTAAAACTGTGGACTTGTGCTATCCTCTGGGCAAAGCTGAAATACTTTTGTAAATTATACAAATTTAGGACTTCTTCCAGGAAGGTGTTGCACAGTCTCAGTTTCTGTAGCACTTGATACGAGCTCTTGGCACTAAAGCAAAAGACTTGAACACTATACAACAGATATGTGAAAACAACTTGGCCTGTTCATGGTTATGTTAGACTTAAACCCACTTATTCCTACAGCACATCCTTGCAGTGCCAAATGGTGATGTTAATCTTTAATAAACTGAGTAGAGAAGACAGATTGTGGATGTTAAAACCACTGGCATTTTCCCACTGCAGCTATTTTTTCTTCTCTTCCTGACTGGGGCACCATCCTGAAAGTGATCTCTTCTTTCAGTTTGAAATTTGTGACTCTCTTCCTAGTCACAGGATGGGAGGGTTATTTAGAGAGTCCTGAATCACTCTGATTCTGAAATAGTGAAGACAGAAGCCTGGAAACAAAGTTTCATGTTATTATGGATGACATATATGAGGAAATGTGATTCTCAGCTTATGAGAACTGGATATAATCAGCCTAACTTATGAGAGTTTATGGAAGTGCTGCTCTAAATTGATTCACCAGAAGAAATTAATTCCTACAGATAAGTATCTGTCAAGCAAAGAGAGAAAAGACTGCTGAATAAGTAATCTAGCTGTATTAGTCCTCTATGCCTCAGAAAAACAGTGGAAATTGATATTCAAAAAAAGATGTCTCCGAGGAGCACGTAGTTTAAATCTAAAAAATTAACAAATCTCTCCCAAGTCAATGGAAACTATCAGTAATTTGGTGAGTCTAAGTGTTTACTTACCCTCATTCCAGAAGAATAATTGTTTTCATCTTCCAGAAGCTAAGGAATTGGCTTATCTAGCCTTGAGGGTTCAGAGTGAGACTAATTCCTTCAGACCTGTTTTCCAATGCTTCCCAGCTGGCATTTACTACCCTTGTGTCATGGAAGTTCTGCATCCCACTCCTGGCGTACCACTCCTACATGGAAAGTGAGGCTCTAGTCAACATGCCAAATGTGTCAGGCCCTTGGGGAGTCAGAACAGCAGCTGTATGAGAGCTGGTTCAAGGTGTCCTCTGAAGGCAGGCTAGCAGCAATCAAGCTCATCCCACTGACAGGGGCATGTCTGCCACAAGACGTGGTCCTCCCCATGTGACCTCAACTTACACACTTGGGGTTTTCCTTATTCAGACAGATTTGATCAAGGCAATTTCTCAACAGTTAAGCAGTGCAGCTAAATGCAGCTGTTAGGGCTTTGTGCAGGGACAGGAGGACAGAGTAGTAGTGAAGAAGCTTCAAGCACTATAACATTTATGTCAGGATCACTTTCCAGGAATGGATAGAAACGAGACCCTGACCAACAGACATGGACCTGTCAGGGAGAATGTGAAACCCTGTGGACTTTGGCTGCTTCTGTGTAAAAGACAGAGGAACAACTAAAATATAAGACACTGTAAGCTGGTTTGAGATTAATATTTCCCCTGGCTTACTTGGCTTCTGGGTAACTATTACTCAGGCTATTGAAAGCCAGCCATTCACTTGTAGTTCCAGTCATCCCCCTGCATTGTCAGCAGGGTACTTGCCAAACTGAAGTGAGATCCCTGGAGCTGGTCAGACTGACTAGCATGGGTACCCTGCCTGAGAAAGGAAGTGGGCTGCCTTTGCGAGTGTCCCAGGGTGGTTGAACATGACCTGCTACACACTCAGGGCTTTGGGACTCCAAAAATAGTCTGCTTTTACAGATTGTTCAACCTCAAAATCTGCCATCATACTGATTAAATGAAATAACAACATGGGAGGAGACCTAAATCTACTTCTAATTAATAGAGCAAAAAATCATTCTATGGGCAGCAAACTCTTCCATATCTGCCTTTTGTCCTGGTGAATGTCTTTTGAAAGAATTAGTGTTGGTCAGTGTCAAAAGCTGGATAGTGCTGGGTGAAACTCAGCTCTGACTGCAACTTGTACAGCTTTGATACGAACAAGGAATGGTTTCAGAAGAGCTGCAAGACAGGCTTCGATAAATTATTGACACCTCAAAAGTAGGGCAGGGTTGATGTCGTTGTGTGACTTCCAAAGAATATGTGTAAGTCACAGAAGAAGAGAACATGACAGATTATCAGTGAATAAGCATAAGGAATAATGGATAAAACGACACATAATTGAATCTGGGGGAAAAAATCAAGCATTTGTTATAGGAGCACTTCTTCAGGAAAGCTAAGGCAAAGTACTCTTTGGAATATGTGCATGGCAACTGGGACAAAAGTTAATATAAACACAGAAAAGCAGTTTTCCAGCCCACATCTATTGCAAATACTATCTGCAGTAGAAAAGATATACACTTACTTTTTGTAGAGTTGAATCTTAACAAATTCCTTCTCTTATTGCTAATGTTGGAATCCCATTTGTCTGAAAGGAATGTTTCTAGTTATATATTCATGGAACTGCATCTCGAACTGAAATGCATCATGGTTAAGTGCTCTACAAAATCTAAATGTAAATGAAAGGCTTGATAGAAGAAACTATAAATAACTTCCTTAAAAATCAACTTCATTTGGAAACTCATGCTTGAGTGCACGATCCCATTTTCCATAAACATCCACTCAAATTTACAAGTTGCATGGAAAATGAAATTATTATTGCAAAGACATAAAAGAACCTCATTTTGGCTTAAATTTTCCACATGTCCAGCATGTCTGTACTGATTACCTTGGTGTTTCATGTTTAGTTTCAGCTTCTAAAATGCCTCACTGCACTGACAATGTTTCAACTTTCAGCTCTGAGGAGACTGAGCTCCTCTGCTGGGAGGTGCTTGTGCACTGGCAAAGGTGCTGCTGAGGATGGATTTGTGAATGGCACTTGTCTCCTTGTCACAGTTTGTGAAGCCCCTGTGAAATCAGGGCTTTTAGGCACTCAGGAAAGACCCCCTGGCCGGTACAATTGATCTCACTGCTTTGCATGGTCTGGTGAACTCGTTCATGGCGTTGGCTTTATATATGCTGCATCTTTTTAAAATAATGCTGTTTTCCACTCGCTGTTACTGTGTGTGGCTCATACAAAATATTTGTGCCTGCTATCTTTTGAACGTCAACACAATATGTTCCATAAGAAACATATAAAATGACTAGGCAATGAAGCAATTAATTGATTTTATAATGAAAGCATGAAATCAAATAGACTCTGAGATAGAGTTGAGTGAATCTGGTGTCTGATCTGATTAAGATCAATGTTATTTTCTGCTTGTTAGAGCCCAGGGGCTGCTGGTGAAGTCATTAGTTTTAGTTTAGTGGTCATAGCACATTTTGACAGGTTTTACTTAGTGATATTCGAGCAACAGCTCAGTCTTAAGGGTCATCAGTGCAATAGTGATGAGGTTGTTTTGGTGTTTTCAGATTTATATCAAAAGAAAGGGACTGCAAAAAACTTTAATGGGTACTTTACGTTTTGATCACAGAAAAAGTTCTTTGCCTAGCTGGAGTGGTGAATCCATCATCTCCTTATGGGTAAACACATGAGTATACTTTGAAGAAATAATAAATATCAATAGAATCATGAATTTCTTTGGTTTGAAATCATTTCAATGAACAGCATTTCCAAAGAAATTCAAGATGCCCAGCTACTCTTGCTCTGTGGTGTGGTTTGGTTTTGTTTTCTCCAAGGTGTTTTCCACGGAACTGGCAACCTTGGAAAGATGAATTAAAATTGAGAGATATTTTGTATCCATCTGGTTCCCCACAGACTTGTGTTTGCACAATCAGGATGTAGGTGAGAAATGTCTTTAAAAGGTTTCTTTGATTTATAGTACAATATATCTCAGCTCCAGAAAATTGCAGTTGTATCATTGAGTAGTGACCTGGGAGAAGAAATGTTCTTTACCTTGAAGTATAAGCAGATGGTGTTAATGGAAGAATTTCTAGGAGAGTAATAATTACACTAATCTGATACATGCTACAGAAATCTCTCAGATGGAAGGGGACTATTATGAGAGCTAAGCAGGATTTGGATTTGCTCCTGAACAAGGAAGTCAGGTATTTGCATGCAGAGCTTTGCTGATACGAAATGCTCATGTTTCAAAGTCTTTTCCTGCAAATGAGAGTTCTTAAAAAATCAAGAATTTACCAATGTAGAAATATTTTCAACCTCAATGAGACATTTTCATGCTTCAAACTTTGTAAAATGCACAATTTCTCCCAAGGCACTTTGCAACTTATCCAGATTTTCCCATTTTCAGTGCTTTGCAGGGGTGGCTGAGGTAAAAAGCATCCTTGTGAAAAAAAAAGAAATCTTTTAGATATTCTTCCCTTACCAAAATAATTTTCTAATGAATCAACTTCTTTTCTATGACTCCAATGCAGTTCAACCAGAGAGCTAGATGAAATATCAACCCTGAATGAGAACAGGAGTCAGTATAGTCCTTCTGGGGCAAACAAAAGTAGTTTTCTGTTATGTTAACTTCCAGGACATATCAGTCAGTTTAGCAAAATGAAATACACTAATTTCTGTACAAGCCAAGCTGAAATGAAATTCTGTTTGTTTGTTTGTTTGTTTGTTTGTTTTTAATATTCTAGTCTAATTCAGTAAATTTCCTGTAAAATCTGTGCTTCCCTGGGAAATTAAGAACTCTTGGTTAGTTCTGTGTAATATACTGAAGAAGTCCTTCGCTGAGTTCTTGGGTTTAGCAAACCTTTGAATGTTGAGTAATGTTAATACATCTCTGCAACATCATACTGTTGGTTGTTTTTTTTTTCATAGCACTGCTGACTTTCTAAGTTATAACTAAGAAGCAGAAATAAATGTTTTAAACTTTTATCCAGGGTAGGAAATGTGAAAACAAACAAGAGATTAAGTATAGAAAATATCTGTGCATATGTTTTGGAAGACAGCTTAAGAGAGTTCTTAAGCAGGCAGGTCAAAGGGAAAAATTACTCATAAAATGAAATATGGCTGCAAAAATAAGTTCATTTAAATAATTTCTGGCACAATAATACATTTTTAGATGTGTTAAACTTAGAGTGATTCTAGCTTTCATTTGCCAGCAGGTTTTAAAGTGGGGCTGGATGGGATTTTGCCGCTGCACAAAAAGAACGTTGCAATAACCCTGGGATGTGAGCTGGGATGTCTCAGCAGACCATTTGCTAAGGGAGGACATCTGTCAGCTGGCTAGCTATGGTTTTTGAAGGGTGTGTAAGATGTCAATCTTCTGTGAAAAGTGCCTCCCAAATAGTAGCACTATTTGAAGATCATAATGTGATTTTCACTTTACTATGGGAGAAGCAAGTGCTATCTCTGTAGCTCATTGTCTTTTCCCTTTTCACAGGTTAATCAAAATTTCAGCAGTTCTTCACAGCCCAGTGGAATCATCACAGACCCGTTATATTTAGCTGAGTGATGCTGCTTTGTATTCATGTTTTGAGCTATGGGTGAGTGCAAAGCAGTAGGTGAATATAATTTTCTGAACATAATACCATTTCATGCTAGACCTTACAAGCACAAACAACATTAGCTTTGTAAACAGACTTTCCTTGCTCTTTATACTGAGCCTGAGAACCCTGAGAGTTTGAATTGTCATGTAAATCTGTTAGCTAATGTATGCTAGCATGTTTTAAGAAATGTGGCTTTTACTACAGAAGTAATACCCTAAAGGTTTAAACAATGTTTGGTACAGTTAACATACAAAATATATGTATGCATACTTCTCTGCTCGTAATCAAACTAAACTTCGTTCTTTAAATGGTACAAACTAAATCTGCCTGGTAAACTCATAGATTCCATAAACTCATGGTCTCTTTTTGGGAATACTTTGATTTCTATAAAATGTGAAGTATATGCACTAGCTAGCTTCCTCACACTCAGAAGTTCTGCTCTTATACTTTTCTCTAAAATCTACCAAATACCCTTTTCCCCAAACCACTGAAGGTTTAGCAGAGCCCTTTTTAACCTCAGTTAATAATGAAATTTATCTCTAAGTATGAGAATTCAAAAACCCATAGTTTTGGAAACTAAATCTAAACCCCATGCTAAATTTCATGTGTACTTGCTTCTCATACCTTGAAGACAAACGGTTTTTGGAAGACATTTTTGTAGCAGCATCTGTAAAGCTAAAATATCAGTTTGCTGACACCCTGGTTGTTAAGAGTGCCAAGTTACCTCTTTTTTTTAAACAAAAATGCTTTAGAATAATTGCATTTTATAAACCAGAAACAGTTCTGGGTATTCAAACTCTTCAGTGTAGTAAATCCTTTAATGAGACAACTATTAAACCAGATGAGTAGCCGTGATTTTTTCTCCACAACTGAAAAAAAAAGAGGTGCTTTCAACTCTTCTTTGACTTTAATTCTTCTTTTCCGTTCTGCCTGAGAGGCATGTTACCTGCAGTCTTTTCATGTATGACATTACTCAGAAATACCATGTCCAGAAGAATATGGTATCAACTCATCCTTGTGTTTCCTTTCCAGAGGTGATCACATCAGTTAGGTGGATGCTGAGCAGCTGTGGGATTGGATGAAAGACTTATGAAATTCCCTGGAGAAAGCGGGAGGCTCTCCAAGTAACACAAAGGCAGTAGTGATCAAGAAGCAGGAAAATGTCTATGCTGGGAAGGAACTGTAGAAATCGTTATACATGCCAAATCTGTCAAGAATAATACTTACTATTAGCAGTATGTTATGCAGTTATCATCAGATCACAGTGAAGTAGTGACAGCAAGTTTAACAAGATGTTTATGTAATTAATCCTTTGGTTGATGTATTGTTTGTAAAGTACTACAATGGTAGTGAAACTGTCATGCCTCCAGTGAGGCCTCTTAAATGAAATAAAAACAAGTCAGTACATGGTTGTACCGACATTGAGGATGTACAATTCTACATGGTGCTGCTCTATTCACCATGCTATGTTCCTGTTAGACCAAAACAAGATCAGGAAAGTCTGAAGTGACAGGTGCTGAAAGAAACAAGAAAAGAGAGAAGATGCAGCCTCAGCTGCATGGAGGCAGATGGGGTGAAGGTGCCTGTTACACTGAAGAGTCGGCTCTAAAGGAGTTTCTTTGGAGTCTGTTACAGATGCCCCCACCAGGAAGAAGAGATGGATGAATTATTCTGTAAGTGGCTGGCTGATGTTTCACAGCTGACAGCCCTCGTTCTTATGGGAGACTTTAACCTGTGGGATGTCTGCTGGAAACTCGACACGGTGGAGAGCAGGAAGTCTAGGAGGTTCCTGGAGTGTGTGGAAGATAGCTTTCTATTGCAGCTGGTAAGTGAGCCTACCAGGGGTGATGTCCTAGTAGACTCCCTGTTTACAACCAGAGAAGGGCTGGTGGGAGATGTTGTAGTCAGAGGCCATCTTGGACACAACCACCAGTAAATGATGGAGTTTTCAGTACTCAATGAAGTAAGGAGAGGTGTCAACAAAACTTTTACCCTGGACTTCCAGAGGGCAGATTTTGGCCTATTCAGGACCCTGATTTAGAAAGTCCCTTGGGAAGAAGCCCTTAAAAAACAAGGGGTCCAGGAAGGATGGACATAGTTCAAGAAAGAAATCTTGAAGGCCCAGAAGCAGGCTGTTTCTGTGTGCTAAAAAATGAGCCAGTGGGGAAGATGACTGGTCTGGTGGAACAGGGAGATTCTGCAGGAACTCAGGGGGAAAAAAGAGTGTGTACCACCTTTGGGAAAAGGGGCAGGCAACTCAGGAAGTGTTTAAGGATATCATTAGGTCATGTAGAAAGAAGGTAAGAGAGGTGAAAGCTCAGTTAGAACTTAATCTGGCCACTTCTGTTAAGGACAACAGAAAGTGTTTTTATAAATACATTAATAGCAAAAGGAGGGGCAAGGAAAACCTCCATTCTTTATTGGATTTGGGGGAGGATATAGTCATCAAAGATGAGGAAAAGTCTGAGGTACTTAATCCCTTCTTTACCTCAGTCTTCAGCATTATGATTGGTTATCCTCAGGATAACTGGCCTCCTGAACTAGTAGAAAGGGATGGAGCAGAATGAACCGCCTGTAATCCAGGAGGAAGTAGTTAGTGACCTCCTGAGCCACTCAATACTCACAGATCTATGGGACAGGATGGGATTCATCCTGGGACAACAAGGGAGCTAGCAGAAGAACTTGCTAAGCTGTTTTCCATCAATAATCATGGATAATGGAGGAGGTCCCAGATGACTAGACATTGGCCAATGGGATGCCCATCCACAAGAAGGGCAGGAAGGAGGATCCAGGTAAATACAGACCTGTCAACCTGATCTCTGTGCTCAGTGAGGTTGTGGAGCAGATCCTCTAGAGTGTGATCACATGGCGTATAAAGGACAACCAGGAGATCAGAGCCAGCCAGCATGGATTTAGGAGGGCCTGGTCCTGCCTGACCAACGTGATCTCTTTCTGGGAGCAGGTAACCCACCTTGTGGATGAGGGGAAGGCTGTGGATTTGGTCTATCTGGACTTCAGCAAAGCCTTTGACACCGTCTCCCACAGCATACTCCTGGAAAAGCTGGCAGCCCATGGCTTGGACAGGGGCACTCTGTGCTGGGTCAGGAACTGGCTCGAGGGCCGGGCTCAGAGAGTGCTGGTGAATGGGGCTGCATCCAGCTGGCGGCCGGTCACCAGTGGTGTCCCCCAGGGATCAGTGCTGGGCCCAGTCCTGTTTAACATCTTTATTGATGATCTGGATGAGGAAATCAAATGTACCATTAGTAAATTTTTGGACAACACTAAGCGGGGTTGGAGTGCCCATCTGCTGGAGGGCAGGCAGGCTCTGCAGTGGGACCTGCACAGGCTGGATCAGTGGGCCAAGGGCACTTGTATAGGTTGAGCAAGACCAAGTAACAAGTCCTACATTTTGGCCACAATAACCCCATGCAGGCTGGGGGCAGAGTGGCTGGAAAGCTGCCTGACAGAAAAAGACCTTGGGGTGCTGGTCGACAGCCAGTTGAACATGAGCCAGCAGTGTGCCCAGGTGGCCAAGAAGGTCAATGGCATCCTGGCTTGTATCAGGAATAGTGAGGCTGACAGGACTAAGGAAGTGATTATTCCCCACTACTTGGCACCGGGGAGGGTACACATTGAGTACTGTATGCTGTTCTGGGCCCTTCAGTTCAGGAAGGACATCGAGGTGCTGGAGCGAGTCCAGAAAATGGCAAAAAAGCTGGTGAGGGGTCTGCAGTACATGTCCTATGAGGAGCAGCTGAGGGAGCTGGGGTTATTCAGCCAGGAGAAAAGGAGGCTCAAGGGAGACCTCATCACTCTCTACAGCTACCTGAGAGGAGGTTGTAGCCAGGTGGGTGTTGGTCTCTTCTCCCAGGAAACCAGCAGTAGGACAAGGGGGCATGGCCTTAAACTGTGCCAGGGGAGGTTTAGGCTAGACTTTAGGAAGTTCTTCACAGAATGGTTGATTGGGCATTGGAATGGGCTGTCCATGGAGGTGGTGGAGTCACTAACCCTGGAGATATTTAAGAAAAGACTGGATTGGCACTTAGTGCCATGGTCTATTTTGACAAGGTGGTGGAATTCATTCATATATTGAATTCTATGATCTCAGAGTTCTTTTCCAATCTAATTCATTCTGTGACTCTGGGATGTGCAGAGAACAGCTCTGTGTTGGGCAGAATTTTAATTTTGGAAATTAGGTGGGGAAAAAGTGAGCAGAGTGAAGGTGTTAGAACAAGAAAGGCCAATAGTAAAGGCCAGTAGTACAGGCTAACTGTTTGTCATTTGTGCTCAGAAATAGCTCTCATTAGCAATGTGAAAATAGAATAAAGCCATGGTTTCAATGCATGTGTGAAGATCAATGTTGTAAACAAACTTTGATTCTCACTATGTATATCAGATATATAAGCCAAAATGAAGTTGATCTGGCAAGCTCACAAGCACCCCAATCCCTTCTGTCTCTGCTCTGCAATTTTGAGCTTTGAGGAAGGGTATCCATTCCTGAAAGCACGTAGAGCAGACAGCTGCTTTTACATTCCATCTATCCCTTTTTCACTATGGGAAAAAAAGTCTAACTTATTTCAAAGCTGTCTTCATTAATGATTTCTAGAAAAAGCAACACTTTGTCTCCTTTTCAGGAAACATGTACATTTGTTTTGTGGTTTCTGTGGGAAATGTGGGAAAGAGGCTACATATGGAAGTAGCTGTTCTTGCTTATAGCTGTTGCCAAGGAAAGGAGGACACCAGCTGGTCGAAGAAGCCCAGATGCCTGAGTCCCATACCAGCTTCCTTTGTGTACTCATCAGGTCTTCTCACTTGTATGCCCTGCTCTTAGGCCAAGGGGTTTTGTCTGAAATGCTTCATTTTAGTGAAGTGCTGGCTTTTTTCAGTAATATCTATTTTACTGAAGAAGAGAAGTGCTTCCTGATGACTTCTGCACCAGATGGAATAGGGATTACAGGAACTCATGTGGCATTAAGCCAAGAAAGCTGAGAAATGGGCTCAGTTTGTGACAGAGAAGAAATTATAGACCAGAGATTGTTTAGGGAAGGGAAGAACAGCATTTTGAGTAACAATTTTTTCTCTTTCTTCTGGGAAAAAAGTGTATTTTTCTAGATGTTCTTCCAAGCAATGTGGGTTTTTTGTTTGTTTGGTGGGTTTTTTTGTGGTTTTGGTGGGGGTTTTTTTGCTTGTTGGTTTGATTTTGGGTTTTTTGTTGTTTTTTTTTTAATGGAAGATAATTGAAATTTCTGAAGATAAAAAAATCACAGAAGATTCTATTTGAAAGAAAGATTAGATAATTTGAGTTTATATTTCTTTATTTTTAGCGCCTGCATTTGAAAACCAATCTCAGATTCAGACTTCAAATTGTCATCCAGAAGGTATTATTGGTTACAGATGGCTTATTTTTCAAGCAGAGATAAAATTCAAGTTTCTTCTCTTTTCAGGATAAATGTATTATTATGCATCTAATTCAGTCACTGGGCACTATTGCTTCTGTTTTCTGAGGTAAGAATCAACAATGGTTTTGGTATTTGCCACTGAGTTTTGAAGATACTAAAGTCAAGGCTCAAACCACATTTTTAAAGGAGTTTGTAGTTTAAATTTCATTTTATTCTGGTTCAGCCTGTGCTTTAGGACAGTGTTATATAAAGAGCAATTCAGACCAGAGGATTACTTGGTCAAAGATGGCTGAAGAAGATGTTATGTATTGTTTTTTGCACCACAGTACATCCTGAGATCTTCTGAAACGTGTTACTATCTTATGCCCTTAATTTTAATGGGACCTGGATTTTAGTTCCCCTGGTTTGAGAGAAATAGGTAAGAGATCACAATGAAGGTTCCTGCAGAGCTGGAACTGGTGTTTGATCACTGAGGTGACATCTGTCAGCGCTAAGCTCACAAAGGTCACATCGCACGTGCTTCCATTGCCGCACTCTGCAAAGTGCCAGAGTTAGAACATGGCAGACCATTTCCTGCGAGCTGCCCTGTGCACGCAGAGCCCACGTTACGGCATCATCAGGGACCATCAGAGCAGTGTTAGGTGCTCTGGGGGATCCCCTGGAGCCAACCCTTAACAGGGCAGAGCACTTTCTGCTAAGTGTTCAGGGCAGTAGCACGGCTTTTGCCTAACAGGTATTCCTCATGGACTGTAACAGTTGTCCCTCTGGCTCTTCAAGGACGTGCTGGTCATAGTCACTTTACATCCAAGTTTATTCTTCTTCCCTTTGTCATATAGGAACTGAAGACCAATAAGGGCTTCCTTGTTTCAGTGTGTCTCTTTTAAAAGAAGCATTTGAATTAGGGAGCCACTACCAAGTTCGAATTTCTTTTTTTTTAACCTAATTACCAAGAGCCTGTCTAACTATTGATAGGACTCTGATGCATTCAGCTGCCAGGACGAAATTCTCCAGACTGGCTTTTTACACAAAGGGATTTTGTTTTAAGCATGTAAAGTGTGAAAATGTTT